CCGGGAGAGAGCTGGGGAGTGAACAGTGTGGCTGGAAAGGAAGGCCACAGTTCAGCCGGCAGGGCCGAGACCGCTGACCATTTACTGAGAATCCCCCGTGTGTGCGCGCCCGAGGCCACATGTGATAGGTTTCGTCATCTAAAGACCCCTCTTCAAAGAAGGAGGGGAGCCGAAGGCAGGTGGGCATGGCGATTGACTGGCACTGCCTTCCCTTCCTCCCTGGGGCTGGGCATCATGCTGCATGGGGAGCAAAAGGCCCATACAGCTGAGTATGAAGCAGAACCACCATTTCGCTGCATGCCCATGTGGGGACACACACACACACACACACACACACTCTCACACACACACACACACACACACACACACTTGCAAAGGGGGTGAGAAGCCGATTTGATTTTCCAAAAGATTGCATAATTCTTAGGTGATATGAAAATAGCTGATGAAGAATCCACTTTAATCTCTTTTGGGTGGGCGTTGAAGGACTGAAGAGCATTGCTTAGATATTTCTGACAAATCGGTTACAAGAAATAGGCCGCCAGCACAGAGCTGCAAAACCATCAGCTCCTAAATCCACCACCTCCTGCACCCTCCTGGGCTTCAGATGCCGCCTTGGATGTCCAGGGAGGAGGAGGGGGCCACCCAGGCCCTGACCAGCAGTGTCCACAGGTCAGGAGCTTCCTTTCTGAGATGGGCAGAAAACCAGCGCTGAAACACCCCTCCTTCCCAGCTCTGAAAGAACTTCCCGTTGGTGCCAATCATTTCGCACAGAACCACATCCAGCCTGGACCTGCTCTTCCACCCTTGGCTCAAGCTGTATTGAAGATAATCTCGTTTATAATTCTTTGTGGGTGCACGACGAGTCTTCTTAAACAAACTGTGCTTGTCTTGAAGGGGGCTCCGAGTTGTGCTCCGACTGTAATCTGGGTCCACGTATCCTGGATAGACAAGACAGCAAATAGTTTGCAACCATGCAATAACCCTGATGGAATCCCGATTCTTCCTTCTGAAGATATGGTTCTTGAATGTGCACTAATGTTACTGATCTGCATATTCCAAGAGTCTAGAACAGTGCCTGGCAGACTCCTTTCAGGGCTCTTCTCATTCCACTGGGGGGGGGGGGAGGGTCTTCATCCTTAAGTTGGGGCCTGACTGGGAAGTGGGCATCGGGCTGAGGAAAGGGAGGAGGGGTGTGAGGGGGGGGCGTGGGATCTTCCAGGTAGAGGGGATAGAGGAGTGACGGCTGGAGGGTCACGAGGGTGTGTGTGCACATGCCTGGTTCTGTGGCAAGATGGTGATGGAGGAGCTTCTTGGACAGAATCAGGGGGAGAAAAGGAGACAAAAGTAGCCAAGTTTGCAGATCCACAGACAGGAAGCTGAGAGTGTTTCCATAGGATGACTTCTGGTTTTCCTCTGAAGCTGGAGTGAGGTTATCTTCTGAGTGGGAAGAGGATGGACAGGGGACAAGGCTTGAAACAGCTGCTGAGGAGAGAGGAGAAACAGAGCTGAGGGAGGTGGCTGGCTGTGTAGGGTGGAGGGTGGCTTGAAGCTGGAGACCACAAGCTTCTCTAAGTCAGTGTCAATGGCCGGTCAAGAGGGCCTGGCATGGGTGGCCGGTTTCATCATCATGCGGGAGGGATGGGGACAGCAGCTCAAGGGATGGCTGAGGTCGTGGGTCATGGGCTGGACAGGAAAGGGGAGAAGCAGTTTGACAGGCAGGGAGAAAGCGGAGGCCAATGGACTGGCTGTTCAGAAAATACAGGAGAAAATTGGCCGAAGTGACTGGAGCTGCTGGGAGTGGGAGAGGCTGGTCAGGAGGGCTGCAGGGCAGAGGATGTTGATAAGGAGGCTGCTGGTGTGGCCCCAGCAGGGGAGGCTGACGGGAAATGACACAGTGGAACTGGGGACCGATACGGAGACAACTGGTCCCAAACTCTGAGAGAGGCCCTAAGAGGTACCCTTCAGATCCCAAGGCATGCGGGCAGTCGCCCAGCAGCTTCACCAGCACCAGCAACACCGAGAGGGTCGGGGCCTGACCAAAGTCACGGCTGAGGCAGGCAGGACCGCTCCCAACCCCAGCCCCCTGCCAGGTGGGCCTGCTCCTGGGAGCGGCCTTCCCCAGGAGGTGAGCAAGGAGGCAGGTGAGGTGAGGAAGAGGAGCAGAGGCGGGCGAGGCCAGAATAGAGTTTCTGGGTGCCCTCCCTGGAGACTCCTCCAAGCGCCCCCCTCCTCTGGGCGGTTCCGGTCTGACAGGAAGCACGTGGCCCCCCACCGGCGCGGTTGCCCGGGAGACCCGGGCTGTTTACCAGAGGAAAAGAGCCGGCAGAGGGCAGCGGATGGAGCGAGCCGCAAGGTGAGCAGGTGGAGAGCTGCCACCACCCCCGCGGACTGGAAGGGGCCTGGAGAGGCCAGACCCCAGCCCGCAGGCAGCAAGGCGGGGCTCCCTAGACCCTGTCCCAGGGGAGAAGCCAGGGAAACAGGACTGGGGCCTCCTGGGAGATGTGGCTACTCCCCAGGGGCAAAGGCCACCTGCCCAGAGGTCCTCGTTGCGGAAATAACTGGGGCTCTGCGCAAGGCAAGGGGCTAGGAAGCCGCAGGGCCCTGTCCTCCTGGCTGGGCTGGACAGACCGGGCCACAGACCCAGAGGGCCAAAAGGATGCCCGGCCCCACAGAAAGACCTGGACCGGGCTGAGCCTCCCCAGACCTGTGCTCCTTCATCCAGGTCAACTCACTTTCTCACTTGCTTGTCTCTCCCCCAAATGCCTCCTGCTGCTGCTTGAGCTCATTGCCTGCTAGAGCGGCCCCCAGGAAACTTGGAAATGTTTGAGCTGTCCCCCTCCATCGACCCCGCCCCACTGCGCCCCCTGCTGTTAGATCAGTCTCAATTTTTTTTTTTTTTTTTTTTTTTTTTTGTGGACCCTTGGCTGGGGAACGAACCGGCGCTGCAGAGGCTGTGGGCACATTCTTAATTCTTTCCCCACACCTTTGGTCACGGTGGCTAGCGGCCCAGCTTCTCCACCCACCCCGGGCCAGCTCAGTGCCTGCTGACCGCTAGTCCCCGGAGAGGTGGGGGGTGCTGGGAATAGGACCAAAGTTTTCTCATTCTCAGGGCAACTACCATCTCCTGTTGCCTCTTGCGAGGGTTTTCATCCTGAAAGCTTCACGAGGAGGTGTGGGGGTTTGCACTAATCGATACACATTTTTAAAAGACCAGTTCAAGTCTATGCATCGTTGGTATATACAGCAGATGGCATGTGGGTGGGTATATTTTATTGCATTTGCTGTAGGTTTAGATTTGGGTTCTAAGCAAATAGGGAGGTCTGACCCTGTGGTCAGACCTGCACCCCTGGGGGGCAGAAATATGGCTTCAGTGCCTATCAGACTTTCCTTTTGCTGAGTGATTTGGCAATTAACCTTAAGGAACGGCCACCTGCCCTCTTGGCGACTTCCTGGAAACAGTTCTCAGTGTTTGTTTCCTGACTCCTAGCAGGCCTCCAGGGTGCAGCTAATGTTTAGGTAAACAGGCCACTTGCCTATTCAGCTGGCAGCTTGCTGGAGTCCTGTGCTTATACCTGGTTAAGTCACTTTGAGGTTGAGAGCTGCCAGGCCTGGAGGTGGTGCCCTCAGATGAGCAGGGATAGCAGTGGGTGCTGCAGAGCCTCCCTGTGTTGGGCTCGGAGGCAGGGGTGGGAGGAAGCAGACAGAGTTCAGGACCCATGGTGTGAATAGAAATGCACTGTTGGCCCAGGTCCCTCAACACCTGTTCGCCACCACCAGCACTACCACCACGCGAGCCTGCTGGGAGAGATGGTGATGGCCCCTGTGACAGATGGTCCTGCCACGCGGGGGGAGGCAGTGGGTTATGAAAGCAGGTTGGATGGAACGGCTTTACCTGAAGGAGGTGTTAGTCTCTAAATAACCATGAGTGGGCTCCAGGCATTAGTCATAATTGAGGTTTTTCTCCGCGATAGCTCGAAGTCATGTTATCTTATGACCAGGGTGTCTTGAACAGGACACCCCCTGAACACGGGTAATTATATAGCACCGAAAGGTATAGAAAGTGCATGCACATACCCAAGTTTGACTGTTAAAAATAATCCAGCAGAGAGCCTGTGAGAACACATGACTCTCCTCATCAAAATTGTTAAGGAAGAGGTTTCTAAGTTACCAAACTTACTGACAGTTAAACCTTCCTGAGGCATGTGTGGGAGTTAGAAGCCAAGTCTGTGATAAATTCTGTAGAAGCTGTGGCAAATTAATAGCCACTCCGCCAGAGGGGAGGTGGCAAAGGGGGGAGTGCGGGGCCAGCTTGTCTTTGGCAGGACGGTGGGGCAATGGTGACCTCGTGCCATCCCGAGTTGAAGTGCAGAGCTGCCTAAGTGCCAGGGAAGGACTTGAGAACTCAACGAAAATGAAAGAGGGGAGAGAAAACACATTCTTCACAGCGCATGGGAAAAAAGATGAAATTAACAAGGCAATGGGCGGGGTGGGGGATGCCAAGGAGAAGGCTCCTGGGCTCCCAGCAGCCAGATTGGGTGTGAAAGAGTAGTGAGAAGTGGAGACAGAGTGTAGAGACTCCGTCTGTGAGTACTTGGAGCAAAAGCGGAGGCCTTTAAGCTGGGAAAGAGAGGGTGACTTCATTCGAGACTGTGCATCAAGAGACCTCAGATCACAGGGGAGATTGCATTTCATTTGGTTGTGGTTTTTGTGGTGGGGGGAGAGGATACTCCCTTTAAAGCAGATAATGGTAGGAATATGCACGGAATGGGGATGGAAGCTAAGGGTTTGAGTGGTATCATCCAGGGGTGTGCAAGGAAGGTGGCTTGGAATAAGTGAATTTGAAGTGCCTATGGGATCAAAGTTGGAAGGGGTTTATTAGGAAGCTTTTGTTTCAGCTGGTTAAGGCGATTTCCCAGGCAGCGATAGCTCGAGTCAGCCTCCCAGCATTTCTGTGCAGTGAGCAAGGCAGACATGTGTCCCCGGATTCACCCTTTGGGCAGAGTTGACGGGGTGTGCAACCACCAAGGATACCCCGGGGAGAAGCTCTAAGCACCAGCTACAACTTTTAGAGGTGAGATAGTAGAAAGCATTAAACAAATAGAAAACCCAAAACAGAAGCTTAGAACACTTTGCCATCTACTGCGCGTTTATGATGCACCGGGCCTCGTGCTATGGCCTCCCCTACATCACTCCATGTCGTTAGCCTCCTGTAGCAAATCAAGAGAATGCTGTTGAGAGGCGCGAGAGTAATGTCTTCAAGGTGACATAACTAAAGCTATAGGTAGATGAGGAAAGTCGTGTGCAGAATGATTGTCCTCGGCCATGTGGCCTGAAGTAGAACCCAGGTCTTAGGATAGCAGGTCCTGTGTCCTTTGCACCTAAGCATGCTGCTGCTTGGGGCTGTGAGGCCTTGCAAAAGTACCAGAGGGCTGGGCGAGACCTGGTCAGCCCAGGGGTGGGAACCAGCAGTCACTGTGGTGGTCAGGATTCCGAGGGCCGCAGGGAGCCCAGGAAGGTGTCGTGTCCTGGGAATGATGTAACTGCAGATGGGAGGAGGTGGTGGCACCCAGGTTCAGTGAAAGGGGGGCCATTGGGAGGGCAGTGAGTGAGGAGACGAGCTCTGAGCCTGCCCAGAGAAATGCCAAGGCCTCCCACCAGGCTTTAGAACATTGCTTCTGTGTGATTTCATGAGTACCCCCAGGAGAGCCAAATGGAGAGCCCCTGAAAGTATTTACAAGGGCTCTGGGAAGACAGGAATGTAAAAGGCTAGCAGAGACAGAATGGGGTCAGTGCAGGGAGAGACGCCCAGCCCGTCCTCAGTAGCAGGATTGCTGTAAAGCAATCATGTGCCCAGAGACACCCCCCAAGTAGACACCCAGAGCCCCCCCTTTGGAGCTGGTCTAGGACTGGGTTCCTTAAGTGAGAGCCCACCGAGCCAAGAGCTACCCCCCACCATTTTTGTATGGCTTGTGAGCTAAGAATAGTTTTTATGTTTTTAAAATGGTTGAAGAAAATCAAAAGAGGAATCATATTTTGAACCACATGGAAATTATAGGAGATTGAAATTCCGGTGCCCGTAGATGAAGATTTATCAAGACACAGCCACACCTGTTGTTTACATTCTGTCTCTGGCGGCTTTTGAACCCCAAGGGCAGCACTGAGTGTGACAAGCTGTCGAGCCTGCCAAGCCAAAAATATTTTACTGTCTGGCCCTTTACAGAAGAGCATGGTTGAGCCCTGATCTTGAACCAGAGACCACCTCTGCCCGCTCAGGCCGAGGCAGAAGCATCTGTCCCACTCAGCTCTGAGTGAAGCTGAGCCCACTGTCCTGCCTTGGTAGCTTTGCAGGGTACTGTCACCTTCTTGAGTAAAGAAGCTGCTGGCACCCAGCTGCTGGCAAGTCTCCCTTCTCTGCCTGCACATCTGCATATAGCACAGGCCATGCTCCAGCGAGGGCCCCGCCTGGGAGCCAGGCTGGCCCTGGAGTGTGCCAAGCTCCACCCTGCCCCTTGCTGTCCCTGGTCCTTCCCTCATCTGCAGACTAAGTGTGGGCAACCCAGACCTGCTGCACTGCTTCTTTGTCAATAAAGTTTTATCAGAACACACTACGGTCATTGGATCAAGGAGCATCCATGGCTGTTGTGCAACCAGGGCAGAGGTGAGTGGGTGGAACTCAGGCCATGTGGCTCAGAAAGCTGGAAAGTGTCCACAGCAAAGCGTCCGCACTCTGGAGTGTCACGTGGCTTATTCCTTCTCCTCATTCTGGTCTCTCCCCCAATAAGAATAAGAATTCACCCACCACCCTCGTCACTCTCTGGTACAACACTTTGTTTATTTTACTCATAGTAATTACTACTTTATAAAAACTATTTACTTGTAGGTTTAATGCCTGTCTTTCCCTACTGTATTAAATTGCAAGAACGTCAGTTCACTGATATATTCCAAGTGCCTGGAATGAATGAATGAGTGAATGAATGAATGCATTGCAGCTGGCGCTCCTCTCCAGAAGCAGAAATCCAGAGAAAATTCTGCCCCGCCCCCTACTATGGTGGGTTGGTGCTTGTTCTGGCGCCTGGGGAGGGAATGACTTGGACCCAGAAGCCCTGGCAGGAAGCTAACCCATGGCCTCCTCTCTTCCCCTGCTCCCTTAGCTGTGTCAAGACGCAATGGCCACAGACGGCCCGGTGAACATAACCCCCTCTGAGCGCCCTGTTGGCAACAGCCCTGTGGACGGCTTCGTTTGGCAGCCAGACTCGCTTAACATGCACGTCATCAGGCCCAAGTCCGCCAAGGGACGAACCCGGCCGAGTCTGCACCAGCCCCAGGGTTTCCACCACACGCCTTCCTCTCCACCCTCAGCCCTTCCCTGCGAGTTGCCAAGCAGCCAGAAATCCGGAGCCTGTGCACCCAGATCTCCACATCAGGGCGCTCCGGATGAGATCCCTGAGCTGCTTCAGCTGGCGCCAGTGGGGGCCTCCTCCTCCCTCAATAAATACCCAGTCCTTCCGTCCATCAACAGGAAGACGCTGGAGGAGGGGGCTGTGGACACAGTCGCTAAAAAGGCTGGCTCCCTGCAGCTGAGCAGCGTCCAGGCCCTTTACCGAGAGGACACCTGCACCATGAAGACCAGTGAAGAAGACTCCAGGCCACAAGCTTGTTCCCTGGAGAGGAAACTCATCGTCCGAACCAAGAGACAGAGCTCGTCCAGGCCCGGAGACCTGGAGGAACCATCCGACCGAGAGCCCAGGCTGCTGCTTGCTGTCCGATCACCGTCAGGCCGCAGGTTTGTCCGCCATTTCCGGCCAACTGACGACTTGCAGACCGTGGTTGCCGTGGCCGAATACAAGAACAAGACCACCTACCAGCACTGCAGCATTGAAACCATGGAGGTGCCCAGAAGATGCTTCTCTGACCTCTCCAAGTCTCTGCAGGAGTGCAGAATCCCCCACAAGTCTGTGCTGGGCATCTCGCAGCAAGATGGGGAGGGCTGGCCCTGAGTCTGCAGCCACCTGCTGAGGTTCCCGGTCTCTGAGCGAGGAGCCTGCTTGGTTGCCAAGGCCTCCCAGGCCGCTCGGCTTCACGTGCCATGTGAACCTGGTGCCACCATCATTCCCCGGACTCTATCTTCAGAGTCTCGCCTCCGAAGCAATGACATTTGCACATGCCCCGAGTGAGCTCCGAAGAGTCGCTTCCAGCTGTTAAATTCTCTCCACCTGTGGAGAGAGCTGGCACGTTACCAAGGCTGTCCCTGAAACAGCTGTGACGAGGGCGCCCTTGCAAGAGCTGGGTCCTTCTGGAGGGACGGCTTGTCTTCACAATGGACTCACACGCCTGAAGCCAGCGGCTTGCCTTTCTGTATTCGATACAGGATTAGACACTTCCCAGAGGAGGTTCTAGTCTGGTAAATAACCAGGGTTCAGGAAATGTCAAGCTGGCATTTGCATTTCTTGCAAGTATCTTTAGGAAACAGGCGTTGCCCTGCTTGGAAGCAGCCCCTGTGCTGGGCTTGGGGGGCTAGTTTCTTGGGGACAACTGTTTTTATGAGGCGGCTTCGAAGGAAAGCACAGGCCTTTGCTAAAACAAATCCCCCGATACAGCGGCATTTCTAAAACAGTCTGAGAGCTGGAAAGCAAATCTCTTCACCACCATGGATTAGTCTGTAGCTACTTTTAAATAGAGACTGAGCAGATTTCCAACTTTCAGTAGCTGCTTTCTATGAGAAAAGCCAATGTTCTCTGATTTCCTTTGCTAAAAAATGGTCCGAGCCCACGAGCCTGCAGCAATCTGTCCTGAAGCCCCACCTTGGCTCTCTGGGTGTGGACGTGTCTCATCCCCCAGTTTCAGTGTCTTGCCTACTTCAAACACACGCCCTGTCCCCTGCTTTGGAGTCCTCTGGACGTGGTGTCACTCTGCTGCGCCCCTGCCCAGGGGCCACGTGCCCAAGTGTCTGGCTCCCTCAGCCCATCACTGTGCTGAAGACCACGGTGGTCTTTTTCCAGTTCTGAAATGGTGACGTAGACAATTTGCCAAAGCTCTCTTGTGCTGCAAGCTCAGCAGGACGCCCACGTCTCATCTGGAGCCCGTGTGAGGCCAAAGCACCATTCAGAGAAGGGAACACTGTGCCCCCGAGCTCAGCCCCCATGGAGCTGAGTACTGAGGTGCAGTACCCGGAAGGGACAGAGTTCGAGACTGAGTATCAATGTTGCTGTCTCAGCAACAAGCGCTTCTTGTGCAGACAAGGAATGTTGCTGGCAAGGTTACTTCCAGCAAATCGATATTCAGCCCAGGAGATCAGCCCCACCGTGGGCTCCGCCTAAGAGGCACTGCCTTGTCCTGTGCACCCCCTTCCTCACCCCCCACTATCTCAGGTCACTCCAGGATGTGCTACTTCCCAGTGTTTTCCAAAATTTCATAACACCATCCTGACTGCGGTGTGCCTGGGGCCTGCCCAGCCGGTGCCTCTCCCAGTTAGCGGCAGGCAGAGGGACCAGGCCGGAGCTCCTAGCACAGGAACGCCGCCTCTCACCCAGACTCAGCACAGAACTCTGCCTCCGATCTGGGATCTGGGAGGCCGGGAAAGAGCCTCCCACAAAGGCACACCTACTCTATGGTAAGAATAAAGTCCCGCCCACCTGGGACTCAGCAATCTCCCCAGGCAGGCGATCTGCAGAAAGCATCTTGCAGTGGGGCTTGCTAGAAGGAGTTGCAACCTTCTGCACTTAGGGCTTTGCTGCTGCTACGTAGCTTAGAATTTGGGGTGGGGAAAAATGGAAGACGTGAAGCATAGACACATTTTAGGGTATGCAAATAAAGCTAGATTGGAACCATCTTAATAAACGTTTTTTGGACAAATGATGATACAATAAAAACTGATTTGTGTGAAACTGAGTCCGTGGAGAAGTGCATCTTGTATCCTGGCTGAGACGTGGGCTCCCACACTCTCAGGCCAGGGGCGTTCACTAACCTGATCTCCAGTCTACCGCCTGCCTGTCCTTCCCATAAATTGTGCCTTCAGCCTATACCAAGCCCGCAGCTTGTCTGCACAGGGAGCGATTGTCGCTCCTAAGAATCTTGCCGCCCACTCTCCTTTGAGGTCGGCAAGAGCAGACTGTCTCAGAATGTCAGTCCTGGGGGGCATGGCCAGTGGGCATCCTGCCCCGGGGGGGGTACTACTCTTGGTCTCATTGAACCAACAAGGGCCTACCCGGTGCCACAGGCAGAGAAATTGGCAAGAACATAAGGGGAGTTCTCACTGCAGACCAGACCGAGGCTGGTGGCTGTGAGGGACAGGAGGGTGAGGATAGCGTCTAGATCCTGGGGAGGGGGTGATTTCTTCTCCCTGACCTGTGCAAATGCAAGGAATCTTTCTCCACCCTTCCTAGTAGTGTTGGCCCAAGGGACCCTGATCTTTGGGGACATGCACTTTGCACGGGACAGAGCTTCATGACAAGTTATTCCAGTATGCCCCTCCCCCGTGAAGTCCAATAGGTAAATTAGTCCCGACAGCATAAGGAACAGCAGGAGAAATAAGTGACTCATCATTTAGAATTCAAAAAATTTTCACCAACAGATGACAGGTGGTTTTAACACAACAGTCCTTGCCCTGAAAGTACCTGGGGACCCGGCCAACAGCCGGCAAGCCGGGGTCATCCTGCGCAAGCATGACAACGGTGGGGCCTCAGCACCCCAGGGCTCACCCACAACAAGTTGCCCACCCAGAGGAACTATGACAGGCTAAAAGCCCAAAGATGGGTCACCCTGCCCGAGATCACTGCGTGGGCGCTCCAGGAACTACATTTTCCTTTCAGTCGACTCTCATCAGCCCTAATGGGTTTCTAACATCAAGTTAAGTTACCCTGCCCTAAGAGGCAAAAGATTTCTTTCTATATTTTTTATTTATTTTTTAATTTTTTTAATTTTTTAAAGATTTATTTATTTATACAAGCACTGGGTACAGTCAGAAGCACGGGAGGGTGAGAGAATTCACCAGAGCCAGAGCGGGGAACAGAACAGGCAGACCGATGAAATACACTGCTGAGGGGAGCAGCTGGCGCGGCAGGAGAGGTCTGCGCGCCATGTGGGACCCTCGCTGGTGGCCGGGAATCGAACCGGCGCTGCAGAGGCTGCAGAGGCTTCGCAGCCCAGTGCTCAACTGCTGCGCCACCAGGGGAGGCCCCTTTCTATATTTTTAAATTAAGATCTTCACAACAAGTTGAGATAAAAGGGCAAGCAGTTTCCCGTAGTCTGGGGTGTATCTTAGGCCATCATATATTTCTTTGCAGAATTGCAAAGAAAACTGATGACTTTTGCCTACTTTTGGAAATCAGTGTGAGAATGAAACAGGAACATCTGTTTTTCTCAGCTCCCTAAGGCAACGCTCCACAATAAAGCGAAGAGTTCTCGAACCCGTTCACCCTCACCCCCAAAGCAGAACAATCCAAACCCATCCACCCGATGAGAGAAGATCAGAGGTTGCCTTGGAGGAGTCTTCCCGAGTGGAGCTGACTTGGGGTGCTTCAGCCACACACGAGCTAGTAACTTGCATTATAAAAATAAAATGGGCTCTCTTGCTTCTCTTTGTCTAATCTGGTGATGTGATATTTTCCTTTTCTGATGAGACTGTTTGCACCAGCCCTTTCTATTTATCTTTTTTTTTTTTTTAAGATTTATTTATTTATACAAGCACTGGGCACAGTCAGAAGCGCAGGAGGGTGAGAGAATTCACCAGAGCCAGAGTGGGGAGCAGAGCAGGCAGACCGATGAAATACACTGCTGAGGGTAGCAGCGGGCGAGACAGGAGAGGTCTGTTGCGCCATTTGGGACCTTCGCCGGCGGCCAGGGATCAAACAGGCGCTGCAGAGGCTGCAGAGGCTTTGCAGCCCAGTGCTCAGCCGCTGCACCACCAGGGGAGGCCCTGCACCAAACCTTTCTGACCCTCAAATGGGTAAGGAGGCAGCTGCCCCTTGCACATTCATGTGGAAGAGCAAATCACTGGGGGTATTTTTGGAGCCATTTCAACCCTGAGCCAAGAGCTTGAACAACTGATGTGACAACTGCCATTGAGTGGGCCCCACTGGGGTGTCCTGCACCAGGGGTGAGATGGACGGAAGGGACCAGCCACTGGAGGTCGACAGTAACTTTGGGGAGTGGCTGGCTTGGGTCGGGGTGGTGGCCACAGATGTGGTGAGAGGTGGTCGGAATGGACATATAATCCGACTTCTTAGGAAAAAAGGAAATGTGGGCCAGAATGACAACCTGGGGCTTACTTGAGTGGATGGAGCTTGACCATCAGGCAAGGAGGACTAGATCCTCAGGAGACAAACGCAAAAGACACATGTAGCAGGGGCCTCCCCGGTGGCCTAGGAGATAAGTCTCAGCACTGTCAACCTGTCAACTGCTAAGGCCTGAGTTCAATCCCCGGCCAGGGAGCTACCCACATGGCACAGCAGACCCCTCCTGTCTCTCTGCTGCTCCCCTCAGCAGTATATTTCAATGGATCTGCCTGTTCTGTTCCCCACTCTGTCTCTGGTGAATCCTCTCACCACCCGCATCTCTGGTCTTCATCCCAGTTCTTCTACACAAAAATAAATAAATAAAAAATAAAAGACACACGGCAGAAGGGAAACGCTGCCCAGCAACCGTGTTTGGAGGCAGGAAAGGCCCATGCCGGGCAGCCCAGCTCTTCACTGCTTTCATGAAGAAGAGCTGCAGCTAAAGAGTCTGGGTTAGACAGCATCAGTTGTCAGCCAGCTCTCGGGGTCTGATTATTGACCGAGGTTCCTTGGGTAGGGAATCCTTGTCCCAGTGAGAGAGCACACTGCTTATCTACCTCTCCCTCCGCCGACCTCCCTCTCTGGCCTCCCTTCGTTCCAGCCACTCAGACCCAGTGGCAGAGCAGTGAGGCGCTTCTTGGGAGGACAAACAAAACCGTCATCCTGGGGTATGGCTGGCCAAGCTCCTGGTTTCCTGATTCTCATGCTCACAGGTTCTTTACAGAGAGAAGTGCTCAAGGCCTAGGGCCCTTGGGTGATCCGCTGAGCACTGCACCTCTCTGACATCTGCCCTGGCAGGTGAGGACAGGATTGCTGGTCCAGGCTGGTCAGCGAGGGCCACCCGCAGACAGCCCAGGTCTGCTCCTGCCCGGCCATCATTAGCAGGAATGACCAGCCGCCTGTGGACAAACCCTAAGGGGATGATGGTGACCCCCTCCTACGGGTCGGGCTCCACCCCCCGCTGCCTCCACCCCATCCCCATGCCCAAGCCCTGCTGCATGTCAGCCCAGCCCAGACTTAAACATACCAAGTCTCAAAGACTTTGGATCCACACTCCACAGAGGGCTTGTTAGTTTCCCCCCACGTAGGCCTGGGCCCCAGCAACCCCTTTTCCTTTTTAACAGAGTTCTTTGCCAGCCTTCATCGCATTCAAATCTTCTGTAACAAACTGATTTAATAAACGTGTATTAAGCAGCCATAGGCCAGGCACAGATTTGGTCTATTAGCGAACCAAGCAGACCCCAAGTCCCAGCCCTTAGGGAGGGTCTGTGCTAATTCTGGCAGACAAAAAAGAGGCAACTGAGGTGATAATATGATAGAGAATAATGGATACAGAAGAGCATGGCGAGGGCAGAAGGTTCTGGGGAGCATGGGGGTGAGGGGTGGTAGAGGGTGAGGCTTTACAAGGATGGTCAAGGCAGACCCTGCTGATAAAGTGACACCCAAGGGCAAAGGGTGGAGTCAGCTGTGTGGGCATGTGGGGGGATGGGTCCCTGGCAGGGAGAAGCACATCTAGGCCATTAGAGGCCAGTGGCCAGTGTGATGGAGCAAGAAGGGAGGGGAGGAGCTGTCAGAGATGGGGGCGGGGGTACAGAGCACAGGGGGTACACGCTGGGTAAATGGGGGGCTGCTGCAGGGATGAGTGGAGGACAAATGTGTTCAAACCAGCACTGGCAGAAGCTATTCCTTCTATAATGCAAATGAGAAGCAGCAGGGAACAGGGTAGTGGCCACAGATGCCAGGAGAGATACCCCCTGCCAGGTGCTTAAGCCACTGGTGTTTTTTTTTTGTTTTGTTTTTTTAAAGAACTGATACTTCACTTTTATTGCAAAAATCATATCAAAGTAAATGCTACCCCATAATATGCATCATCATAAAAAATTACTTTTCCAGGCAGAAGAGGCTCCCTCTAACCGAATCCATTACTCTCCACCCTCAAAATAAAACACGTTTTAAAAAAATGGAAAACTTGGAAAATGTAGAGAACATAGAAATAAAAATCACCCATAACGCTTTCTTTCAGTCGGCAATAACCGCTGTTAATATGTTGGCATATGTTATTTTATTCTTAAAGATTAAATTTATTTTGTACATTACTTTCTTGCCAATAGGCACACACGCATATTTTTAACATTTATAATCCTAGCAAAAACAGTTTTATATTCTTTTTCCAAATTTCTACAGTCTTCATAATTATTTTAAGACTGAGTCATATTTCAATATGTTGATATACTGGAACTTATTAAACTATTTCCCTTTTATGGAACATTTACACATTTCCAGCTTTTTGCTATAGAAATCAATGCTGAAGTCTTGATTACGTAGTTCTTTGCATCTTTTGAATTATTTCCTAGGCCAAGTTTCCAGGAATAGTCTAGGTAGGTCAAATTATATTAAAAATTTTATGGATTTTGCTTTGCTTTTCAAAGAGTTAAACAGCAAGTCCACCCAATTTCACTACCGTATCTTCAGCTTTGAGGTTACCACTTTTTATCATTTCCCTTTTGTTGGCTGGAAATGGAAACTAATTTTTAAAAAAAATTTGCGTATCTGGCTACTATTAAATATTAACTAGTTTCCATGACTTTCAACATACATCTAATATTAAAAT